GGAGCATTGCAGGATGGCACGCAAGAGCTTCATCCTCCAGCTCCTTCGGCTCCCCCGACCTTTGACCTCCCTGCCTCTAGTTGATTTTTAAGCCAGCTTAAGTCGCGCTGAGCAGGCTGCAGGAGTAGTCCTTCGCTCCGAGGACGTTGTTACCTAGCAGCTTGCACAGCATTTGCAAATTAGCTTGGGCTTCCACACTCTCAACTCAAGACGACTCGAGATTCCCTGATTTCAGATTGGCATGACCCCCAAAAAAAAAGAGAAAACCAGGCAGGCAGGCAGGAAGGCAGGGACTTTCCCTCTGCCAGAAAGCCAAACAATTAGCCCAAGTGGCTTAGCAGCGGGCAACTGATTGAAATTAAGTGCAATTCGAACGCCGACACGAACTGTGTGCAATAAAAGCAATTTACCTAAAGCCCCCAATAGAGTGTCCAGAGTATCCGGCATCCAGAGTACCCGGTGTACCCCACTCCCGCCCCCGGAGCTCCTTCGATTGGTTGACACAGCCAGCTGCTCGCCTCCTTTGAGCTCGCCTCCTGCGTGTCACCGTGCATACACATATATGTATACGTATACCTACATGGGCCCCCGAGGGTTCAGTGCCAGAAAAGTCGAGCATTTCTTGGGAAAATGGTCTTAAATTGAAAAATAGAAATTCAAGAAATAAATGTTTTTCTCAAAGAATTAATTAGTAAAGCAGTTTACATACTGTGAGTACTGTAAGATATATATATATTGTACATTTTACCTTACGATCAATATATTTTATATTATTAAAATAATACCGCTGAAATGATCAGGAACACTTTATCCTTTAAGAGGAAACTTTATCAAAACTTTTATAGTATTACCGGTTGTACTCCTACACACCTATATAGTCACTTCAATATATATATGGTAAAATACATTTGCCCTATAATTAATCTAAGTGCAATAAAATATGTAAATATGTAAATAAATCAATAGACTAAAGGTTAATAATTTTTTAAAGAAAGAAAATATAATTTATTAAAAGAACATATGAATAACCTATACAGAAAATACTAACATAAATCTGTAAGCCGAAATATAAATTAACGTAGAACATTTAGATAATGTACATTTTCACTTCCCAAAATGGTATAGGAATTTTAGTTTCGTAGGGAGTTCTATTGCAGAGACGTCTTTGAATCCTATCCCTAAATATTTAATACAAATTAGTATAAGATTTTATACACCTCTATATACCTCTATCATATACCTAATCTCAGGAAATATTTTATTTGTTAAAAATACCATCTGTTATTACTAGTTCCATTTAAGAAATCCATTTAAAGTACGTAATTATTATAAGTTCCTACTTATAACGCTCTTAAAAAAAGCCAGTTCTAATCCTGATTAAAATTTCTTATAAACCCCAGAACGAACTTATCTCTCGCTGTGCATGTTTTCGATGCCATGGAGGTATAGGATTCGGCGGGGGGTTTGTTTGTCTGAGACCGGCATTAGCGCAGCAGGTTGCCAATGTTGGCCATTGTTCCTTTCCGAGGTCCCGGTCCTCCTCCATTTTTGTATTGCCATTATTTTTTTCGACGCTCTCGCCTTTGTCCCGTGGCAACATAATTGATTTGTGTCCTGGCAGGACCTCTCAAACGATTTCCACAGTCCCCTGTTGTTCAATTGCAGGAAACTTAAATGTGTATAGAATATATATATATAAAACATAGGTATAGCTCCCCCCACCCGATATGTGGACACATACAAATCACGGGGTTTGGCCAGGCATTACAGATATTTCACTTCGATTTGTAACATTCCCGGTGCTGTTTGTTCCGGCATTTGTCACCTTTTGAGCTTTTGGCCCGGGTTTGTTTTGTGATTAATCTCAATTTGCTGATGCCACATCTTCTCATCCGCCGGATTGCTGGATGTTGACACTGACTTGGTGACGGATCCTATGGGTTGGGTAGATGGTGTTGATTTCACTTACAAGAAGCAAGGAAAAACATTTGATGTAATTTAAACTTGTTGCGAAATGGAAGGCATACAAACGGGTTTTTGGGTTGGGGTATCCCCCAAAAACCCGAGATCTAAGGGAAAATATTCAACTCTTTGCTGGGCCAAAAATCAGTCCCTTAACAGGAAACAAAAGCAAATGGTTTTTGGCCGTAACCCATTGTGTTGGCCAAAAGTCCAGAGACAAAAGCCAACTGAAATTGCACGTACCACAGGAGATGGAATTCTTTTTTTTTCTTTTGCAGCACGTGTGGCACACGTACTTTCAATAGGGATTCCATCTTTTGTGCGTTTCACAGGCGACTTCTCTGGATTTATTATAACAAACAGGGCTGCATCTATCTATCCGGCAGCATGTAAGATTATAAGTTAATTATACGCTCGGTTGTTGTTGTTGTCGTTTGGTAACTTGAAACGGAAAAAGGCCAAAAATGATTATGGCCAGTGTCGCAATTCGGGCCAAAAGGCTGTCAGCGATGACAGGGAAAGTTGGCCGGCAGTTGGTTTCGGGTTGGGGTTGGGGTCAAATGGCGATAATGAGCGTTATGGCAACGAAAAGGAAAACGACCCCGATGTCAGCAGCTGCTCGGCCAGTGATAAAAGACCCCGCCTCTGGGAAAAGCGTAGGATTCCGGCAAATGAAACCGAATCTAGTTATACAATCGAATTGTGTAATTACAAACATATGTACGTACTTTGTATTAAATTCAGGAAAAATAATAAGATAATTATAAGTTATTACTAAAGATTGCCTAATTAAAAAGGTAATAAAAGCTGAATCAAATTAAGGGGTTCCCTATAGGCATTACAAGAAAAAAATACACATCCCTGGTGAATCATAAAAAATAAATGCTGACACAGCATAACACTACTGTTTTTGCAAATGTAACTAATCTAGTTATGCAACTTGCATTATTTTAAGCATTACTGTTGTTGTTTCGGTGGTTTGACTTTTTAATTACAGGTCATACGGGCATTTTATACATATTTTGCATTCGCAGCATCAGAGATGCAAAGTTAAACCTTCGGGCACAAATGATTCCGGCAGGCAAAGTTTCAAAACCAAACATTCGCCGTATAACAAAAGTTTTTTGTTTTCCCACCGCTGCTGGTAAAAAGTCGTTCCAGGTGTGGGGAGTTTTTTAGAGAGGGTGTAGGGGTGGTTGATAGGGGGTTTTTCCTGGGGGTGGCATTAAAGCCATGGCTATAAGGACACCCTGGGTGCTCCACACACATGGAGGGAGTGAGTAACTCCCTTTTACGTTTCCTAGGAAAGTCGTAAAAGCATACAAACGAAACGAAACAAGCAAGAAATGTCGTTCCGCCCGCAGCCAGGCCAAGCCAAACAATACAATTTGTTACCAATTAAATGACTGCATTACATAATAATAACAATAACCGTAGCAGCAACAACACTGCCAGCCACCTCCGCAATGTGTCCTTACATGGAGAGAAATTCTCAGGAACTAAGCTCAAAGAAGGAGTATAGCTCAAAGAAGGAGTATAGTAATTCTTGGAAATGCTGAAAGCCTTTAAATTCATCTTCGTTGCATAGGTCATTTTATAATTATAGAGGAATTTCGTAGAAGAGATATGTCTTCACAGACTACTTTCTTATTCTGTTTAATTGCTTAGATAATTTTAGAGCTTTACAGGGAAGTAAGATAAATTTACTTTTCTTAGGATTCCCATACATTTGGAAATGTAAAAGGACACTGAAAGGACATAGCGTGCTTCAAATTCTGAGAAAAGGGGTACTAATACCCATAGATGTAACTAAATGTCGAGACGGTTCAAAGATAACTTTAGAACATTTTAAAAAGGTTAGATAAATAAACTCTCAAAAGAACCCCATTCATTTTGAAATGAAAATAATACTAAGTGAATACCTTTCCTTAGATTCTAAAAATAGAAATAATAATGGCTATAGTTCCAGCTAAGTGCCTAGAAAAAACCATAAAAACTATATAGGTCTTTTAAATCGACTGCTTTACACAGAAATATATAGAACTATATAGGATTAAAAGATAAAAAACTAATCTAGTAACAAGATTTCAAGAATTAATTGTTTTTGTAACAAATATTTTAACTTTACTTGGCCTTTCTAAAGATTTGATATCAATTTATTGAGTGACTCATATAAGTATGCTATAAAATATGAAGTCCAAGGATTTCTGATATGTCTTCATATAGGATAGCTACAAGACAAAAATGAAAGGCCCCTGAATTACTTAGATGATCATAAAAACTTGGAATTCTTAAAACATATAATAAAATATCCATAAAATATTTTTTTAAGGTTCTACAACTCTTTTGATAGTCTTTAAATATATATAGCCTTGTTTCCAGAAGGTTATAATACTTTTTAAAGGTCACCTAATTTTCGTTTAATCCCCTAATTTTCTCCCAGTGCACCCTCACACACACACACATGATAGACAATATTCCGCTGGCGTCAACGAAGCCAGGCAAATATGTGCGCTCGGATGTGCGAGTGTGTGTGCCAGCATCCGGCGTGTATTGGTTGTCAAAGTAACGGGAATCAATAGCTGGCGACAGGGGTGGGGTCTAAGGGGGGTCTAAGAGGGGTTTTTAGGGGGTGGGGGAAGGGGAAGGATGTCTTTATTAGGCGGCAAGAGCAACAAGAAAAACAAATTTGTATTACTTCATTATGGCGATGCTTTTGATTCGACTTTTTTTCCCATATATACCCCCCCCCCCCCCAGCGATTTCCGGCTTGCTTTGATTCCATAATTTGTTAAGGAATTTCCATAAATTGAATTTTTTCCCAAATTATGTATATCACCAATGGAATGTGCAAGTTGAGCTGGAGCAATTAAAAATAAAACTCGCCTTCTTTGTATCAAAATATATATAAATGTTTATTAGAATCCATGAATCCATACATGCATAAATCCTATACGGACATGCCTTTATTCACGTTTAGTTATTCTCAATAATTATTATAATTATTGCATGTGTTTTTTTTTGTTTGCCTGCGTGTTTTTGTTTGTGGAGGGTACAACTCGCTCAATTTAAGCCAATCAAATGGCGAACAGATTGCATTAGTACATATACAGTAGTTTCCCTTATTTTCGGAATATATTAATTTTTAATATTTTTTTTTTAATATTATTTTGCGCAAATTTGCACAATTTTTTTTTATTTGTTTTAGACATATTCAAATTGTTTAGCTCTCTACTTACTTTTGTGTGACTGTCTGTGTGTGATGGCAGTGTCCAAAAATATATACGCAAATAATGGCAAATAATAAAACTAAAATCGTATCTTTGGCATTTTTTTATTCAAAATAAATTGATACCGTTGTTGTTATTGCTGTTTCGCGCTATTACAAATTACAAAATGTAAATAATTCAGCGGTTGAGCTTATGCAAATAGACAAATGAGTTAATTATACTTAGTTTAATAGGCAATTACGTAGCACTTGCGTGAACGTTTTTACACGACAAAATCAGCGCGTCCTCGTAAAGTAATTCAATTTCCCTTCATGCAATTATTGCTCTAACTTAGGGCCTGGACTTCCTATATAGGTATATGTGTATATATTTCCATATAAAATCAATGTTTTTACGCGCTACGTATTAGTTCGATTCGGGAAAACGGGGACGGTTGGTAGTGTAGTAAGTACTGCCCAACTAGCAGAGCTATAAACTAACTTCATAGATTTCATAGATAGAATAATTCAAGGGGGAGCGTGTAAAAATCATTTAAAACTAGGTTCTACTTTAAGTAATTCATTTTTTTCATATAAATATTTGTGTGTTGTGTTGTTTGTGTGTTTGGTGGATATGGTCTGTTGGTTTGTCTGTCTGTGGGAAGCACTTGTGGGCAATTAGGAATTGATTGGTAATACGGCTAATGCGATCCGATCTTCGCACCTGGATTATTGGCAGCTCTATTGTGGGTCTGATTGCTTCTTAAAATGTTAAATAATCAAAGCTCCCGGACATGTCCTTCGGCCGGCTCTCTCTGGTAATCTAGGCCAATTGGAAATCAACTAAAATACTAAATTTTATTTGAAACCATCCAATTGCAAATACAAAGCCTGCCTCGGAGGTTCCCCCATCCTTTGATCGAAATATTTCTTAAATAAGCAGCACAATGCCAGTTATGTTTCTGGTCAAACTACAATGAACATGCAAACAATTCAGCTTGAGCAAATCAAGCTGAAAGTATATAAATAGCTGCCCAAAAGTCCGGACAAAGGACATGTGGTCCTTTTTGTCTCAATTTCAACTTAATTAGTACAAAGAGTTTTAAATGCTATGCTTAAAATGGTCTCGTATGTGTGTGTGTGCTTTTTGCAAGCTTGAGGCCCTATGACACTAGTTAAATTTATGACTAACTAGGTTTATTTTAAAAACGCATGTTATGAGTTAATATATTCAATCAAATTTAAACTGCCATGACTTCTCAAAATAAATTCAGTCAGTTAAAAATTAAGCAAGTGTCATAAGGCCTTTGCCCTCTAAACTCCTCTTATGGCCTTATGACACTAGCTAAATTTATGACTAACTGGATTTATTTGAAGAACTCGTGGCAATCTGTTACGAATTAAAATCTTTAATCACAAAAGGTTGCCACGAGGTGCTCAAAGAAATCCAGTCAGTTAGTCCTAAAGATATCTAGTGTCATAAGGCCTCAAGCCTTCAGGGCAAAGGTCTTATGCCACTTACTTAACTTAGTGATTGAACTGGATTTATTTATGGCAATATATTATGAATTATTATCTTAAATCATATTGAAGTTACCATAGTCATAGTTAGTCAAAAATAAAGCTAGTGTCATAGGACCTTTGCCTACTAAACTCCTTTGTGTCCTCCTCGTGGATGTGTTTGTGTTCGCGTGGTTTACATATAAATTAGAATACATACTAAATAAATAATATGCAGCATAGTTCTTCGTTTTGTGTTAGTGATCCTCGATTCTCGATAAGCTTAAGTGTGTGTATGTTTGCCAGCTGTTAGCACTTAAATCGTTCAGTGATTGTTTCTCCATTCTCGGCTAATACAAAACGTTATCCAAAAAACTCCATCGACTTGGCAAATACTTCTCGGCCGGGGCTCGTTACGCCCCTCAATTCGAATACAATGTCCAAAGAAACCAATTTGCACTTGGATATATACAAAAGAGTTTGCTTAGTTGCATATAACTTGTGCCAAATCGGTTACATATATAAATATCTATATGTATATATCTATATAGATTGTGTGGTTAATACGATGCGATTGTTATTATTGTTGCTGTTGCTTCCTTTCTGGATTGCAGGCTTGTTGCTGCTTTGCTGCTGCTCTTGACACTGATTTATGGCGACACATATGGCGGAGGCTTGCGGTAGGAGGGCGTGGCAGGGGACTTGCCCCGCACCTCCCGGCCGCCCACGACCACCGATGGCGGTGGCACATAGTCATCCACATCGTTGTCACCTAAACGGATTACAAGTTAAGTACATTTTGTATAAAAACAGGAAAGGAAGTCATAACACCCTATCCAAGGGTGTATGTTGATATATATCTGAACGCACCGTTCATGTTTGAGGTGTTGTACGATGGTGGCAGCAGCGGGGGCTTCTCGTCTTTCAAGATGACGGGACTCTTGTTGCCGATCTCGGGCTTCTCCTCGTACTCGTCCTGGAAGATCACGGGAATTCCCTTGGCACGGAAGGACTTGCGCTCCTCCTCGTCGCCTAGAAAGTACATTGTGTTATGACGTGGAACTAATTTGAATAATCATCAGTAGGCCTACCTAGCTCCATTTTGCCGCTTCTGTGGCGACACCAGTGCAGGCAGCAGGCTATAATCGAGGAAATCAACACCATCACAATAATGATTGCGATGGGCAGCACGTAGGTGATCATGTAATCCTCGCCGAAAGAGGACTTATGGGCTGGCTCCTCGGGACGGCTTGGTATGTAATCCAACTGGTTGGTGTCCATGTTCTCGGGATCTGTAAAGATATAATCTTCAGAAGGAATCCTAAGGTGAGAGTTACCAAGCAATACTCACGATGACAGTTACTGAAAGGCACCACCGAAAAGTTGGTCAGATTCAGCTCGGGACCCAAGGCCCGCTTGGCCGCCTCCCTCAAGCTGTGATCGCTGTTCAGGTAGACACTCCTGGTGGTGGCCACCTCCTTCTCCCGACAGTTGTTGTGCTTCTTGTACAACGTCGTGTTGTAGAAGTTCACAATGGTGCCATCGGAGTCGTGGTGCGTGGTTATGGAGCGGATCTGAATTTGGCCAGTGGTGGCATCGCCATTCAGCTTGGCCACACGCTCCACAAACTTTCGCTGCAGGTCGGCATTAAATCTCTCGTGCCTGATGGACAAGTAGGCCTTGAAGAAGAATCCAAACTCGCGCTTGGGAGCAGGACTAACCACCACGACCAAGGCATCGTGGGCACTCAAGCCGCCACTATCCTCGGCCACCAGGAGATACTCCTCGGAACCAATGTCGCCACTCTTGGGAATACCATAGAACTCCTCGTTCTTAGAGTCAAACTGCAGCCAGTGGCGTGGACTCAGTTCCAGGTGATCCCTGGTCTTCAAAGTCAGAGTCAACTGGTTGTCGTTGGCATCGTAGAAGGTATCCGCTGGAACTTTGTAGACCAGCAGTTGGCCCAGGCTGGCATTCACGCGATCCACTTGGTTGCGCGGCATAGGCGGCACATTCTTGGCCATGTGCTGCGTGGGCTTCACCTGGGTCAGATCCTTTTGGCAGGATCCAATCAGCTGGCCAGTTATGGATTTGATTCCCAGCTGCGGCTGCACCAAATCACTCAGTCTCTGGGCATCCAGACGCTGGACAATATCATTCAATTCCTTCTCCGGACACTCGCTGGTGGGCAGAGTCTCATTGAAGTAGACAAAGGTGGCACTGTGAGGATCGTGGGGTGTTTGACGGATTTCCCGCACCACCACTGCCGAGTTGCTGGAGTCATCCAAGGTCCTGGCCACCGCATTGATAAGTTTCAATTGCCAGTCGATGTTGTGGCCCAGCTTCTCGTTGATCCGGACAACAATGCTGACCTCGTGGTTGATGGTCCTCACCGCCCTATGCTGCTGAACACTGATCTCCACCGTTTCCGTGACGCTCGCATTGCCCGAATCGGTGGCCGACAGGCGGTACTGCCAGCGGGATACAGTATCATCCAGGGGTCTATGGATAAAACAGGTTGAATAAGTAACAATCTTTATAAACGCATATCAATAAACCATCTTCTCACAGGCCATAGAGCTCCCGCTTGTCGGCATTGAACTGCAGCCAGGAGTTGGCCTTCAGCTCGTGGCCATCCTTGTCGGTCAGAGCCAGGCGGAGATTGCCCTGATCCTCGGCATCGTAGAAGGTTTCCGGTAGCACGTGGAAGGTGAAGGCCTTGCCCGAAGTGACCGCCAGTTTCTGCAGACGCGTCTTGATGATGGGCGGGCTGTTCTCCTCGGGCTGCGGTTCCACATAGTCGGTGGACACAAAGGTGCTGCTGCTGCTGGACTCCGAAGTGGAGGCCGTGGTCGAAGCCAGTGAAGATGTGGGCGTGACGGGCGTGGACAGCTGGAAGGGGAATTTAATACTTTTAGTGGAGATTCCATGGTTGCCAGGGTAATACGGCTGATGTTACCTCATTATTGGCCAGACTATTGTTGCTACTGCTGCTGCTGCTGATGGCATCGGGTTCTCCTTCTCCTTCCTGGGAATAACAGGGAAATCATTATTAGTGAGTTGGCTAATTGGCGACAGATGGCTGGCTAAGTGTCATGCTGCAAAGTCATCGGCTAAGGAGGCAGGCAGAGTGAGTATATTAGAGTGTTAGTGTTAGTGTTAGTACAACCAATGCGGATACGGATACGGATACAAGTGCTCCATAGTGAACATGCAATTACCAGGTACCAGGGACCAGGGACCAAGGACCTCATGCAGGAGCTCTGGTTCGCTAATTGCCTGCCCTTACATGCTAAGTGCATTTGGCTGGAAGCAATTTTCCCTAATTGGATTCGGGATAAACGGTGAGACAATCGGGTTTTGTTGGGGCAGGAGGGGGTTTATTAGCTAGAGAGCCGGAGTTAAGAGGGGGTTTTCAGAGCGGGTGGAGGTGCAAATCTATGGCTTAAAATCTAAATTGCGATTTCAATTGCGATTGCGAGATTTCACCTTAGAGCTATTAGTGCGGTGCGTTGTGGACTCTATATGAAATTCGCTTTCGCCTGCTGTTGTTGCAGTTGCAGTTGTTGCTGTTGCGGTGGCTGCTGTTGCAGTTGCATTTGGTGTTGCTGCTGTGCCACCAAAATCGTCGAAAGGCAGCGGGGTGCTCAGCTCGAACTCATTAAGCACAGTATTTGGCTGCATTTGGTGTTTAATGGGTAACAAAAATGAGTAGGGGTTTTAAGGGGGCGGCAGAAGTGGGTTGGGATCAAGATCGCGTTAGTCCCTGAGCAACTGGAACCCTAAATGTCTATTTCTTATTACACTCAAAAAAAAACCCTTTAATCAAATTGACCAATAGAATAGTTCATTTGACCTAAGCTATGTAGTTTTCAAGTTTACCAATAAAATATAGTAATAGTAGTTTTACTATAGTAGTAATAATAGATTTACTACTCAGTTGTATTACAAAAGTAGTAGTAGTTGTACTACTATAACAGTAATTGTAGTATTACTGTAGTAATAGATTTTTTACTTTAGTAGTTATAGTAATATTACTATACGTAGTAGTTATAGTGGTTTTACTATAGCAGTATTCCTATAATAGTAAATGTATTATTACTAAAGTAGTAAAAGGAGTAGTATTTATAGTATTTTTTTTTCTTTAAAATAGTAGTTTTACTATAGTAGTATTACTATAGTAATTAATAGCGAAAGTTGTATTACAGAAGTAGTTAAAGGAGTTTTACTGTATGTAGTTATACATTAAAATAGTAATTTTACAATACTAGTTACCGTAGTATTACTATAGTAGTAAAACTTTTACTGTAAAAGTAATTTTACTATAATAGCTATATATTACTATACATACTATCTTTAATACTAGTAAAATATTTGTTATCCATATTGGTCAATTTTTTGGTGTCTGCCATTACTATTGAACTTAAAGTATACAATTTTATACAAAGTTAGGATATACACAAAAAGACTGAATCCTTCTAACCTACACTACCAAAAACTACCTGCTATAAAAAACAGTATGTACACTTATCTCTAACACTATTTTCTATCTAGTCAGCTAAAATTTACTTTAAGTACCAGCCAACTCCACTAAAATCTTTTACTGCATCTCCATAAATGTCCAGTCATTTTGTGGAGTTTGGCTTTTTTTGCAGGATATGCTACATTTACACAGGACAAAAGGCAATAAAACACAATATCAATTTATGTAAAGAGCGAGATGTATGTAAGCTAGGCTAACTCCTCACATAAAGCGACGAAATGGAGGTGGAAGAGATGTTTTACATGTGACAACGAGGGACACAAGGACATGGGACACGCACACACAAACATAACGGCGAGGCAAAAGGACACTCGTTCATGTATAGACACACACACACATACACAGAAGCGACATCATTACCTTTGGCGATTCAGAGAGTGTTGTTGTTGTAGTTGATGTAGTTGTTGCTGTTGATGTTGCTGTTGTAGTTGAGATTGTTGCTGTTGTGCTTGTTGATGATGATGATGATGCAGATGATGTAGTTGGCTGAGTGGCTTGTGATGGAGGTGATGAGGATGCGGATGAGGATGGATATGGGGATGATGAGGCAGAAGTGCTGTCTTGCTCTGTGGGCATGTCAGTGGGCAAGGGCGGATGAGGGGTGGGCACCGAAGATGAATCTTCTCCAGCTTCTCCAGCAGAAGCAATGGACGAGACGGACGAAGACGACGACGACGACGAGGACACCGAAGAGATGGCATCATAGGGTGAGAATGGCTTCTGTGTTTCGGGGGCGGACGCCGAGGGCGTGGGCGTGGCCAAGAAGTCCACTTCTAGGGCCTCTTGTGCCCTGGACTCCACCTGATTTCCATTCTCCTCCAAATAAACAGGCTTTACCATTTCCGTGGCTCTCGTCGTGGTTTCCTCCCGCAGAATCTCCACGGCCAGTGGAACTCCCAACTGCTGTAGCTCCACCTCCTCCTCATCATCATCCGGATCGCCCAGAACAGTTAACTCCTTGATATTCTTGGTATTCTCAATCGTCTTGCTGATCACCGACTCCAACTTGGAGACACTCTCCTCCATCTCCTCCTCCACATTGGCAACCAAGGGAACCTCCGACGAAACGGAGACGGAGACTTCGGGCGATACTATCTTCTCCAACATGGACACTTCCGACTTTTGGTTTAGTCACAGTGAATGAGGCGATTTTGTTAGTTTTCGAGGCGATTTCGAATTGGTTTTATATATATTTTACAATATTTCGATTTTTGGTTGATAACATTAACACAATGAGATCGATATACACAGACAGAGTGAGAGAACGAGAGAACGAGAGGAAGATAGCAAAAAGAGAAGAAAAAACGTAAACACCGTATGATGAATTATAGTTATTTTCAGTGTACATATGTGGGTGTATATTGGGTGTGGTTTCCATTTAGATGCATGTGTAGTATAGTGTAGTTTTTTTGTTTGCGGTTATTAACAAAGTGCAGTAAAAAACAAACAGAACCAAAGGCTTCCGGAAATCAAAACGTATCTAGACAGTAAGTCCAACGCGATCCATACAGATCCAAACACGTAATACATACAGATGTTCAGCGTGTGTGGTTAACCAGTGAGTATGTATGTATGAACCGCAGGTACTCTCATTTAAACGTATGTATCAGTATCAGATAAAGAAAACACCCAGAGAAACCGAAACAAATATGGTGAAATGGCTCAGAATTAGCCTCAAAACTCACCGCTCCGTGATGATGTCGATGAGCATGTGCGGATAGTGGCGGCACTTCCGTAGGAGGCTCACTACTTTAATACATGAAAAGAAATGGGAAAGATTTCCGGAATTACCAATCTGTCACGTTCAGGTGAACGCTTAATACTCACGATACTTCTTCGTCATCTTCCCCGTAGTCGTAGTCATCCTCATCAGCACCGGAACCCTCAGACTGACGTCGCTTGCGATTCGATCTGCAGGTGAAGAACCGATTAGTTATCAGCTTTTACAATAAAGCAGAAAGACACTTCTCCGAATTCCATTGCTATCTTTTAAAAAGCTTTCTACCCACCTTGATTTCAATTCCTTTCGCCAAATGAACCACAAGCCAAAGTTCTCTTCTGTTAAAGCACCTATAGTACCATCCTTCATCTGGTGGGCAATCTGCTTGGCTATCGGCTCACCCATCACAAAATAGCTTGGACCACAGCCGATCTGTATAAGATAAGGTTTTATTAGTTAATCCCTGACTTAAATAGGTTATATATAATACCAACCATGAAACTGGCGCGTCCTAGTCGTCGATTGAGGGTCTCGATATTCTTGTTGCCCTTGCCTCCTTTTCGCATGGCCAACTTGTGCATGGATTTCAATTCACGCTTGGACACCGAATCCAGGGAAATAAATTCCTATAAAGAGCATAGAGGATTAGTATTCTCTCAAAGGCCACACATTCATTTGCCAACTAACCTTCGGTATGGCAAAGAACTTGGCCAACTTGGCTTGAACATGAGCTCGTTTTGTGGCAGTCAGCTCACTCCAGTCGTGTTTTTTTAGAAGTAGCGAAAGCACAATCTCGTTTGGGGTATTTTGGCAGCTCATCAACTCCGTAACATACGGATCCTGTTTGTAGGCGGGCACATCTTTTGGCTCTATAACAGGGACCTTGAAAAAAAGAAAGGGAATTATTAAGGTAGGATTTATAAAAATAATCAAGATCCTAATAATCCTAATCAAATTTATACAGTAGAACTACCATGTCACTTAAAAGTACCAATTACAGAGATTTCGAGTTGTAAAGAATGTATTTTTTCTTGTTAAAGGTTTTTTTGAAGCAGGAGTACCATTATTCATTTTTTTCTACTGTATTTTCTACTATTTTTTAGCATAAGCCCGAGTTCCGATCCGGTTCTCAAGAAGTGGACACAAGTTCTATATAATATGGTATATGATATATGATAGGATAGATATGGTATACCCATTAAGCTAACTAATTTGTAAAAAGGCAAACACCTTTTATTCTTTCACAAAAACATTAATAGACTTATGTCGTATACACTTTTGGAAAGCAAAATCATATGTTCTACCTTTAAAAGTCCAAACGCTATCAGCTGTAAGGTTTTATGAGTATAGAGTTAGACAGTTTTCAAGGTAAACATCTAACCAACTTTTATTAAGTAATATTTAAATGATTAATATTATATTCGTATCTTACTCATTCATAGCAGTTTGCTTTACGTTATAAGAAATTGGAAAGGTACCTACAAGAACATATATGTACTTTATTATTACGACATCTATTTATGTTTCTTATCGCGGAGGCAATCTTATCTTAAGAATGGCGACTTTTTGGTTAAGCAAAAGCCTATACATGATCATCAATCAAAACAATCTAAATTTGATTTAAAATGACCCACATGGGAAGGGAAATTACTCACCTGGGAGTCGTTGACATTGAAGTCCCGCTCGGCGAGAACCAGAACCCCACCCAGGAGAAGGAGCAGCGAGGGCAGGTTCCTACTGACCACCGATAAGCACCACGGCAATCTCATGTTCGATTCCGTGCGCGATATGTGTCTTATGGTATGAATATGAGTCGCAAGAATGCAGTTTCGATTTCAGTCCGCCAGTCCAACAATCCGACAGTCCAACGAAATTCAAAACGTCTGTCGTGGGCTCTTTTTGGTTTCTGGTTCGGTTTTACTTAGAGCTGGAGTTTCCCAGCTGGGATTTCGCTTTCGTTTGGAGAGAAGAGAAAGGGGATATGGCGATATGGCTTTTACATCATCTTCTTCGTTAGCAGCGCCTTCGTCGTCATCGCCATCACCATCTGCAAGTGGAAATTATGGGGGAAATATTAGACATATTTTATGGCGCAAGGTCTTCGAGAGGAGGGTGGGTGGTATCATATCATATGCATGGTACATGGCCTATGCTAATTAATTGTCGGCTGGGTTCGGTGACCCAAAACCCAATTTGAGCTGCGAGCATTTGTGTTTATGTTGCTGCAACTTTTCCTCCAACCAGTAATTAACATAAACAACTGTTAAGTGTTGTTGTTTTTCCTGTATTTGAGGGGAAAATTAACGCTTGGTTAACGTGATGCACATGATCTTTTTGGTAATTGGTGGGACAGCACCCGACGAAAACGATGAAAATTGGAAAGTGCGACGACTCAAAGGGGGCATTTAATTAAAACCGTATTTCAGAGGCATTGATAAGTGAAAGAGAAAACGGTGGGGAGACAATTGCTCTTTGATTATGAATTATTTTCCTTAATTTTGAATTTCTGAATTATTTATGGAATTATAATAGCAGCTTCCCATTCAATTATCCCTTCAAAAAGAACAATGTAGCCCTGTTCGAATTTGAATCAGTATTCCCCTTTCATGTCGATCCACTTCATGGAGTAATTCCCATAAATTTGTTAATCCCTCATTGAACATGCATCCCCATTTACGATTTCCACTTTCCTAAAGCTTCTTGGCTTATCATCGGCTTCTATTTATAACCCATCGACCGACCACTCCCCAAATAACTCTTCGATAATCATTCAACGCAGGCATTATCGCTGAACAGAACAAACCCCTACCCATCTATATTTTACCCCGGGGGTTAAATGAGGCGACCATATGTGTTGGGGACAAAAATTGGAGCAACACATTGCACAATTTGCAGCATTCTGGCCGAATGGGGTTAACGTTTGTGACTTGCAATAAAAATGCAGCGGAAAATGGAGTGCCTGGGAATGCCTTAATTGAGGCATTAAAAATGTGCGATGCAAACTGGGGATCGTCGCTTGAAATCGATATATCAAAGACGTTGGAATGCCTTCTTCACACACCGACACGACTGTATAGACGAGAGTTATTGAATGCCCATAAATAATGGAAATTATAATTGCTTATGCATGCGCAACTAAAATATCATTTGTTTTTTCCATCGACTAGTAGTATTTGTGTTGCCTGCTTTCTAGTTAAATTTAATTGAAGACCTCCGTCCGTGGAGACCCAGCTGGAATAGCAAATGAAGGAGGAGCAGCCCAAGTGTCAAGCGGCAATATGCCACCGATACAGACGGTTCTTCTCGCAACATACAAACATATATGTGCCATCCTATATGAACTTAAAATGCAGCCAAGCATGCCGGGGCCATCAGTCGTTCGTTATACCCCATGAACAGCCCCTACTCCGAGAACCCCTTCCCCGAGAACCCCTTCTCCCAGAACCCCTTCCTTTTCCCCTGCTCTTTGGCATGAATGAGAATGAGGCTTCGGCGCTTTGGCTTCGGAGTGTATTTGCTGGGTATGCAAATGAATTAGCATTGCGCCAAATGCAAAAACCAAAGAACCAGAGGCGTAGTGGTAGTGGGTGCCGGAGAAATGAGAGATCATAACTTAGCAGGCAGTAGTGGTGGAGTATAATATGAAAAACAAGTTTTCCTCTTGTTTCAGTTTGCTGAATGCATCCGCTCAGATAAGAGTTGGGATCCACTGGAGTAGCCATTTGCTATTGGTATGGTGGTTTCAGTGGTTCGGTGATGGGGTTGAGGGTCGGGTCAGCACATAAATTGAGCCGACACAAAGGGCAACTAATAAAGGTACAAGAACAATATAGAATACAGCCATAATACTGACGAGGATGAAGATGTGGTCAGTGATACTGCACTGGGGCAAAAACTGTGTGTGATGCAACATCCGTTCCAAAAAAACACAAAAGGTTATCATGACACAGGCTTTGATAATAAAGAATATAAATAAACATTTTATTTTGTTTCAACCTTGAGATGTCTTTGATACAAATCGAATGTTTAGTTATAATGCAGTCAGTTGTCAATTAAAATAATCTACTTCTAAGTATGAATCATTTTATTCTGAGCATGAGCATGAGTCATGTTAGAATTTTCAAATATTATCATTCTTAGTTCCTACGCCTTGATGACAAAAAATATAATCCACAGATTCCATAATATTAATTCCTGGAATCTATTATATACATACAAGGTAAATCTGTGTATAATACATAAAATTTTTCTTAGCTGTATGCTCTTCTTTCTCTACCTTCCCTTTTTTTGGTCAAATTTAAGGCAAGTGTCATAAGGCTTCATGAATTTAAGAACATGAGTCATGTCTCATTCGTTAAAACAGTTCAGTAAAAACAATCAATCTTAAAACGAACCTTTCTAAATTATTATAATATCTAATTTCTGAAACCGGAACCCTTTTAGAACCCTTTCTCCCAGTGTGTAGCCACCGCCCACGCATCGAAGGCTTTTCAAGTGGGCCGACTCTTATATATCGCCGTCATTATTGTTGTGGCATTAATGTGATTAGAGAAGAGGCCTACATTTAGAGCCGGCACTTTGCGATGCCCTCTCCTATCTCTATATGTCTACCACTCGTTCCTGCTCGGCTCTTCCCGCGGGCAATTAATTATCTCAGATCCGAGAGGTTGCCCCCAGCTCGGTTCAGTTCAATTAGCCTTGGTTAACACACACTGGCCCCTATTTACACACACACACACAAGGTGGCATCGGATGCTTCTTCATATTCAACCAACTACGTGACACAAAAGATGTTGATTCTGCAGCGGCGGCAACTGCAACAAAGAAATTCTTTCTTTCATCACAGAATGCAGCGACCGCATAAACAAATTTATTTTCTTTTTCACTGCACCCAGACGCATTACTCACTGAAGCCCATGACTTTTTTGTGAATGTGTTTACTCGGTGACCCAAACTTTTTGGGTTTTTTTGTATTTAACCCGAAAGCCGTACAAGAACTGCTATTATATTTCGTATTCCTCAACTTCAGTAGCTGTACTACTCAGAACTACGGCCTAGGGCAATGTTTTTATGATTATAAGAAAACCAACTATTCCAAAACCTTTAAAAACGTATATAGTCCAAAATTTTTTATAATGATTAGTTTGTAATAACTTGAATTATGTTTAAAGTTAAATAAATATGTTACATTTATATCTTATATTTAATAATTGGTATTATTGTGTTATAGATGAATGAATATATTTACTTGGTGACCCAAACTTTTTGGTGTTTTTAATATAACCCCAAAGGCTTAAAAGAACTGCTCTTATATTTCGTATTCCAAAACAAACTATTCCAAATCTTTTACATTAAAACTTAACATTGTGTTTAGTTTTCTAAATGGGATTAATATTATTTGTTATTGTGTCATAAATGTAAGCATGTTTCATTTGTCTTTCTGTATACACACAAATGTACAACTATTTTTATTAGGACATTTTCACTACATTTGTCTTTATGTGTAACAAAAATGTATACATTTATTTGCTTACAAGATATTTGAATACATTTTTCATATATATTTCCGCTGCAGCTGATAAGTTTGACTGCAAGAAACTCATATATAGAATTGAACTTTGCCGACTCATAACAGAAACCGGCTTTCTCAATTCATATAGCCCACACTTTTTATGTTCATATATGGAACAATAAGAGTATTTCATCTTCAATTAGCCTTCAATGTTGTCTTCTGTGTGTTTTCTTCTGGCACGCATTAATTCGGTTGGATTTCTTGTGAAATAATAAACCACAATTGTTCCATCTGTGTGGCTTTCCTTGCTTTCTTTCGCCAGCAGTTCTGGAACCCCTTCTCGATGGAACCCCCTTCCAAAGGGGGAACCCCTTCGGGCAGCCTTAATTAATTTGATTCGTCGCACTGGGCGCACAATTCCAGCGACGATGAAGTCTTGGGGGACGGGATCCTATAGAGTTGGTGATGGCCAGCATCGGACTAATGGATTGTTTGGCCCCTTGTACTTTGTTTACGATGCTGCCCGATTGAAAAATTTAAATTTGTTGTACACATAAAACCCACACACGAGTACGAATTTCATGTATGTACACATGTTCGCCGGCGTTTGACCCACAATCTTGTCGTTGGAAATAGTCTTATTCAAAATATGCTTTGTTGCACGCATAGTTAGTGAACTGGAAACTGAAAATTCGGGTTGGGGAGCCACAAAAAACAGAAAAGTCTATACAGTGAAAAGCAGGCCGTGCAATTACCAAAAATAGCCCAAAGTCTCTCGACTCTCCTCAATCATCGCCACGCATTGGCTCCGAGTTTTTTGGGTCCGGCCCATTGGAATCCCATGCAATGGGATAGCTGGGCTGGTCACGAAAGGCGTGTCGCATTCTGGTTTTCAAAGTATCAAAAAAAAAATACAACACTCAAAACGAGCGGTAAGGAAAATTCATTTTACAATGACTTCAGCAAAAAGTTGTAGTTGTTAAAGAGGCAAACCAAATAACAAGCAAAACGATCCATCAGAAAGAAACTTTTCCATGCATTGTTTATTGTTTCCTTGTATTTTATTATAAACAAAACTTTTCGGAACTGTTTAGCTAAGAAATGTTTCTTTAAACTCTATTCACCCATATGAAAATATATAATTTCTATTCTATTTTTCAATTTTGAGTGGAATTGTACAAGTATCACATCTTATTTTCAGATTCTTAATCATCATTTCTCTATGACTAAATTACTATAAAGTTTCGTGGATCGCTGGAATTCTGAAAAACATTTATCGTAAATGGAAAAACCAAATGAAAAAGAAAACTATCTATTTGAAAATTCATTTCCAAAAGTTGTTTCTGGTTTTTTTCGAATTCAATGATAAACAAAAACAGCGGGAAGGAAAGGAAAGATAGGGTTTTTTACAATTTGAGGAAAACTTTGTAGTTTATAACTTAAGAAACAGTAAAGAAACACTTAATTAAATAAAAGTGCCTAATATATTCTTCGAATTTCCTGGAAATTTTCAAAAAATTCCGAAAATCTCTAGT